TCCTAATCATCCCCATACACTGATTGGCTTCATCACTCTGTCTCCTCTCCACCAGTAAGCTGGTGTGTGGTGGGCGTTCTGGCGCACTATGGCTGCCATCGCATCATCCAGGTGGATGCTGCACACTGGTGGTGGATGAGGAGATTCCCCCGCTTTCATGTAAAAGCGCTTTGAGTACCCAGAAGAGCGCTATATAAATGTAATTAATTAATTAATTAATTATACTACTGTGTAACAAGGAACTAACTTGGGGGGGGGGGGCATGTTTTCCAGAAGGGACATGATGTTTTTGTTGGTAATATATGGACCCAGTTCACGGAAGACATGTAGAAGTTTAAAAGAATGTTGCTGGATAATAATTATCTAGAGAAAGACAAAAGTTTTTGAACTTCACTTCAACATCAAAACTGTGGCAGTACCCTGGTACTGGTTTGTGCCTGTTCCCTATTTATGTACCACAGTATTTATATGGTACTCAGACATACGTCAAAGAATACCATGGTATTACTATGGTACATCATGTCCAAAAACCTGTGGTTTACTTTCACTCTTAGCTTTGTTGTCACATTGCCTTCTGTGTGAATGCAAGTTGGAGCCATAATGTTAAAATTGAATCTACTTATCAGAGCCTAGTAAAATTACAGATATCAATTGATAAATTTTTTCTTTGTTATTGATGTTTCTAATACTTTAGAAAACAGTAAAATTGTCAAGTGTGAAATAATGCAATTCTGTTCAAAAATTTGGGATCAGTAAGATTTTAAAATGTTATTGAAAGAAATCTCTTATGCTCATCAGAGCTGCCTTTATTCGATTAAAAATACATGAAAACTTTAATATTCTGAAATATTATTCCAGTTAAAATTAACTGTTCCTTTTAAAATATATTTAAATTTGTTTTTATTTTTTATATTATTTATTCCTGTGAAGGCAAAGCTGAATTTTCAGCATCATTAGAAATCATTCTAATTACTGATTACTGATTTGCTGCTCAAGAAACATTATTTTATTATTTACTATATTATTATTATTATCAATGAAAACAGCTGTGCTGCTTAATATTTTTGTGGAAACCGATACATCTTTAGAATTATGTGATTAATAAAATGAAAAGAACAGTATTTATATGGAATAGAATATATAATAATATAGGACTTTTAATCCATATAATGCATCCTTGCTGAATAAAAAAGACATTTCTTAAATACATACATATATACATAAATAGAAAGATAAAATGTTCGTGGGAATGCTGTTTAGTGACTAAAAAGCAAAAATGTTTAACGAATTAAACAATTTAAAAACGTCATACACCGGCACGATTTATATTATATATATAACTAATTTCAAATATTTTATCATTAAGCCTTTAGATCAAAATTTTAAGATTTATTTTAACAATTATTTTAATATTTTAAGATCATGGGAAACATCCCAAACAAAGATAGATCTAGATAGACGGTGAAAAATCATCTTCATCTTCACTGATAAATCTTATTCAGCATCAGTAATCAGCCTGGTTCTCATGCTGTGAGACACCTGATTATTTGCAAGGCAGTGTGCTGCATCAGAGTGCTGCTCGGGGTGGCGATGATACAGTTAAGCAGCTTGCAGTGCGTCCAGCCGGACTCAGAGTCTCTTGTCCTCCCATGATCCTCTGCTAATTGTACAGCATGTGCACAGAACCCATCTGCTGTCCCTGCAGTCACAGACATTACTCATCACAACAGCTGATACTACCAATGACTCCTCATACAATCAGCATAGCAGTTCAGTGGAACAATGCTGCTTTACCAATGTTCATATGCTCTTTCTTTTTGTTTCCCCTGCCCCTGCATCTATGGCCTGTGCTCTCTCAGGTCCAGTGCCTGTTTTGTGTATTTCCGCAGAAGCCAGTGCTGTTTTTTGAGGTACGTGGATATTTGGAAACAGTGTGTGGAATTAATGTCCCCAACAAATTTAAAAGGATAGTCTGTGAGAAAGGTCCATTTAATTACATTTTACTCCCCAGTTCTCATTACTGTAATGCTTATTCTTATTACTGACAAAAGATTTATGTATACATTTTGAAGCATTTTTTTCATCATGGTGTCATTTCTTGTACTGCTTTTAATCCTTTTTAATAATAATAAAAAAGGTGTATTACACTAATGAGAATTGGGGAGTAAAATGTACATAATTTTTCTAAAGCAGGGTTTCTGCAGGAGGCTCATTTGTTGATAAAAAGCTCATTAATAAGGCTAATTGGGCTACACAATTAATCAAAATAAAACTGAAATACAAATATATATTTTATCGAATCATGATTATCAAATTAAATGCTGCAATTTAATTAAATATGTATTAAGTCTTTGCATGTTTTAGAGTGAAGAGCAACACTGTGTTCATTTACACTGTGTTTATAGGCTCGGTTCATAGTAAATGCTGTTTAAAAAACGTAATCTCTGCAAGTTCTGTAAGTTTAATGTGCATTTGGGTACAGAATGTGCACTTGATTCACTTTATTTACATTGGCATTTGCATAATTATAAACTTTTTGTGGATAGTTTAGCCTACAGCATTTCACCAACATTCCACCAAAATAATGGCTTGAGGATTTGATATGTCAAAAACTTGAGGGTCACAGCAATAGCAATATGAGCCATTTTTATTTTTGAAATGTAATGTCATATCTATTCCCATCGCTGAGTCAGGCATTCTATAACTCAAAATTATCGCAAAATTATACTTAAAAAAAAATAAAATAAATAAATTGTTGGGTTGAAATGAGACTTATCGATAGGTTTTTTGAGATTCACCCTCACCCATTCACTTTGAATATATGGTAAAGAGCAGCGTGAACATTCAGCTAAAGTTCTCCTTATGTGTTCATCAAAAGAAAATCATTAGGGTTTGTATAAACCTGGGCGATAAAACGGTATCGATATTTATCGACGTTACACCTTTTTCGATATCGATAGAAAACATTTTCAATATAATGCATGATATAGGCACATGCTAAGAGTGACGCAGACAGCACACACGAACACGAACACATGCTGAATTGAGGGCTGTGCCTGCCTGTGATGAGAAGATTGTGAATAAAGAATGAATATTAGTTGAATTTAAAATAAACATTTGCATTTGAATGTTAGGTGGTCAGTCGGGGCGCGCGAGATGTGGCGATGATGTAAGTGTCATTGTTGCATTTTAATGTTTTGTTAGTCTAGCCCACGAGACGCGCCATGCGTTATTCATTCAAAATATTAGAGAAATATAGAAGAAGCAAAGAAGATCTTGATAAAGGTTAAAACCGAAACCAAGCCATTCACACAGAACGCATATTCAGCGCATCTTTAGATGGACAAACATGACTGCTGCACTCGCGTCTCACACAAGAGTTGTATAGAAAGCCATGCAAAGTTAAAAGTTTAAACTTTTAGAAAACACGTACAAATTTGTGGAGGTTTATTCCTTTTCACTGCGTCTCATATGTTTTTAAATGCAGTCTGTGTGAATGGCGCTTCGGCTCTTTAGATTAAGCAGTGCATAAATACATGATGCTGTTTTGTTCATAATTGTTTATGCAATTTACGAAATTATATTTGATTTTTATGAGTTAATTTAGACGTTATGCACGTTTTTATAGAGTTACTTCCTTGCGTTGACAATTTAAATGTGCTACATTATTTTACTCCTCCTTTTTACTCCTTTTACCCTCCTGTGGCCTCGGGAGACAACACAAAAGTTTCCTTAAGATCTATTTAATCTGCATATAAACATTAGAAATTAGATATTTGTTTAATTTTTATTTTGTGTTTGATTGTTAAAACAAAAAATATTAGTTGTTTGCCTCAATAAATTGTGTTCATTAAAAAATACAGTGGTTAAATAAATAAAAAATCTATTGCTTTTTGTTTTAAAAAAGGTTATCTGTTTTGTTCATAATTGTTTATGCAATTTACGAAATTATATTTGATTTTTATGAGTTAATTTAGACGTTATGCACGTTTTTATAGAGTTACTTCCTTGCGTTGACAATTTAAATGTGCTACATTATTTTACTCCTCCTTTTTACTCCTTTTACCCTCCTGTGGCCTCGGGAGACAACACAAAAGTTTCCTTAAGACCTATTTAATCTGCATATAAACATTAGAAATTAGATATTTGTTTAATTTTTATTTTGTGTTTGATTGTTAAAACAAAAAATATTAGTTGTTTGCCTCAATAAATTGTGTTCATTAAAAAATAGTGGTTAAATAAAAAAAAAATCTATTGCTTTTTGTTTTAAAAAAGGTTATAAAAAATGTCAATAATTATCGATAACGAATGATATGAAACATTATGTCGTTGATAAATTTAGCTATATCGCCCAGCCCTAGTTTGTATCTATATGAAGGTAAATAAATGATAACAGAATTTAAATTTTTGGCTGACCTATTGCATGAAGCTGTGTTTTGGACATCATTAAACAGTGAATTGAAACTGTTAAAAACTCTTTTAAACTGTTATTTTTTTATGCTTCAACTGATGATGCCTATGTTCATACGATATGCCTATTATAATACCTTTGATTTGTGAACTTTGTATGATCTTCGACTGTAATATTTTGATCATGGACTGTGGGGTGAATAGGTCAGATGTGCTTCCTAAATACCAAATTATTCACTGTAATTTAGTCATTTTGTTCATGAAAACCATAATTAACACAGATCACATCGGACCTTTTCCTGTCTTTTTAATAAGGATAATAACATCCTGTAAGTGAACAGACTTAAGTGACCTACATACACTGCCGCTTTTGTGAACTTCTGCTTGTTTCCTTTCCTCTACGACCTTCACACGCTATGCCTTTGGTTTCCTCTCTGTTCATGTAACCTACATCGTCTTGATATGATCTTGTGGTTGATTTGGATCATTTGATTTATGTTTTTCAGAGCACTATATTAGTGTGTGTGTGTGTATGGTGTAAGATGAGCCATTTGTTACTTATATGGTCCTCAACAGTTTGTGGAGCCCAGCCCTAGTTTGTATCTATATGAAGGTAAATAAATGATAACAGAATTTAAATTTTTGGCTGACCTATTGCATGAAGCTGTGTTTTGGACATCATTAAACAGTGAATTGAAACTGTTAAAAACTCTTTTAAACTGTTATTTTTTTATGCTTCAACTGATGATGCCTATGTTCATACGATATGCCTATTATAATACCTTTGATTTGTGAACTTTGTATGATCTTCGACTGTAATATTTTGATCATGGACTGTGGGGTGAATAGGTCAGATGTGCTTCCTAAATACCAAATTATTCACTGTAATTTAGTCATTTTGTTCATGAAAACCATAATTAACACAGATCACATCGGACCTTTTCCTGTCTTTTTAATAAGGATAATAACATCCTGTAAGTGAACAGACTTAAGTGACCTACATACACTGCCGCTTTTGTGAACTTCTGCTTGTTTCCTTTCCTCTACGACCTTCACACGCTATGCCTTTGGTTTCCTCTCTGTTCATGTAACCTACATCGTCTTGATATGATCTTGTGGTTGATTTGGATCATTTGATTTATGTTTTTCAGAGCACTATATTAGTGTGTGTGTGTGTGTGTATGGTGTAAGATGAGCCATTTGTTACTTATATGGTCCTCAACAGTTTGTGGAATAAAATTAAATAAAAACTGATTTAGAATCAAGGAATAAATGTCACTGAAACTAATAAACATTTTATTCAAAATATTCATGGCATAGTAGCTTTTCTGCAATGCTGAACAGACAATTAGGGACTACACATGAAAAGATATGTGACACAACAAGTACAGAAGGAGAAGACTCAGAGGTAACATCAACAACAAAGTGTTTATTCACATGTATTTCAGAGAAGCAGCATGGTAAACAGGTGAGTATAAAATGCAATGAATATAGAAAGCACTTAGCTTGAGCGTAAACAGTTTGTTGCAGGTGCTGGCGGGTGTGTGGTGAATGCTTAGTGAAGACTGGACCTGAAGACTGACTGAAGACAGGAAAGTATCCAAGAAAAAAGCAGGGTAAGTCCTCATACGTGGGGAGACGAGGCCAGACAAGGAAGAAGTGGAGAGTAACTGCTCTTATTCAGGGCTTGATGAGATCATCTATGGTAGGTGTGCAGGTGTTGACCAGAAGGGATGCTGGGAAATGTAGTTCCCAGTGGACTGGGCTAGTGACTGAGTATAGTGAATGGACTGGTGACTAGGGACTGTGATTGAGGATAGTGGATGGACTGGTGACTGGGGATTGTGACAGTACTCCCCCCTCCCAGAAGGTGCAACCTTTCACAAAAACAGGCCCAACTGGGAAGTAGAAGGAGGAAGAAGCCAGGATAATTTGAGCCAGGGCAGAGCCAGCCGAGCAGGAAGCCAACAAGGGTGAGCAGATGGAGCTGAGCCCCTCCGACACAGAGCCAAAGACCACCATGGCAGAGCAGAAGGAACTGAAGATTCCCACGGTAGAGCAGTTGACCACCAGAGCAATGTAGATGGAACTGAAGATTTCCACAATGGAGCAGACCACCACCACTGCAGCAGAGACGGTGCCGAAGACCTCCCAGTGGAGCAGAAGACCACCAGGGCAGATCTGGAGGGACTGGAATATAAAGCACAGAGAAGTAAGCAATGGTCATAGTGGCCATGTCCGAGCAGGATGTCTGACTTGAGACCGTCTGGATGGCCGGCTGAGAGACGGGCGTCTGGAGGGCCGGTCTTGACAGATGGGAGATAGGAGAACAGGAGATTCCGCTGGCTGCTGTGGCCAGGACACTGGAGACAGGCAAACTGGGAGCTATCACCTCCACTTCGCTACGAGGAGTAGGGCAGTGTGCGGCCCAAACACAGTATGTATTCTGCCATAACAGGGAGATCAATCAGTGACAGAAGGGACTCTAAATCCTCCAGGCTGGGAACAATCTGATAGGGTACTGGCCTATGGGCTATGATCTCAGGAGACTCAGGTCTAGCACTCAAGATTGCTGGAGATTCTGATTTGGTTGCCCTGTTAATTGAGGTTTCTGGTGGTTGAAAGGTTACTAGGCTAAGCTCTGGGATGAGAGTGGGCACTGGGATGATATTAGGGATGATAGCAGGCAATGAGCTGAGCTCGGGGACGAGAGCAGGCACAGAACTAGGGATAAGGGCTGGGGCCATCACTGGACTTTGCTCAGGGGCTGGAGCCATCATGGGACTCTGGTTAGTGGCCAGAGCCGACCCGGGACTGTGCAGTTACCAACATTTATTTTGGTAGCTATTTTATATGTAGTCTTCAAACAAAAATAGTCTTTAATTCTTCTCTCTTTAGACCAAATCAGTTAAGCTTATGAGAAATTTGAATCAAGGAATTTGGAAAAACTTGAATAAATGATGACAATTTTCATTTTTGCGTGAGCTATCCCTTTAACAGTAGTGAAAAGTGAGCAACTTATAAAAATTATAGTTCATATATAATATATATAATTTATAATTTTTTTAAAAGAAGCAGAATAAGACAAATACAAAAGAGATACAGATTAAACTCATTGTTCAGATACAGTAGGTTTACTTAACATTTATTTAACATCTTATGTTGGTTAACATTAATGACAGGGATATGTACTTAATTAGGAATGCTGTCCCTTTAAGAAGGAAGGCATGCATGTAATACTGACACACATTCAGTTTTCATCCACCAGTTTACGTTTCACTTAATCCATAACCGACTGTATTTACTTGAGATACTCTACACGATAGACATTTTGACTGCTGTGTGTGTATTTGAGCACTGAGAACTGATCGCGTGCTGTATATGAGAACTGATGAAGTGGAGCGTGTGCAAGAGAGAGCACTTCTATCAGCGCGATTCCGCCTATCCCGCCTTCACTAACTTTAAGTTAATCGACAACGAATTGTGACTCCCGGGAAAAACGGGACATCTGGTCACCTTATCCCTACCCCTTCGGGTGCTGAGGCCATTGTTTCAGATCGCTAGTTCGCATTTTGGTAGCCTATCCGTCCACTGCGGCTGCCATATTGAGACTAGATATGCAAACGCCCCTTATCTGATTGCAATCTAATGACAGGGACGCACATTTTGAAGGACAAGACAGTAGCCTATAAGATGCATTTTGAATGTCCGGTAGTCCTCAAATAACATTATAACCCCATCTCGTCTTGTTAATGAAGACACGGCATAAATTTCGTCATAGTTTTTATCATCAGATTTTAGTTTTAGCTCATCAACGTCTCGTCTTAGTCACAGAAAAAAATGTTTGTTAATGAATATTTTTCGTCGTCGTTGATGAAATAAATTAACACTGTTCTCAAGGACAGGACTTAAATGATGAGTTATTACACAGGTACAAGCGGGCTCCGATGACAATTTGGGGGTTCGAGTGGGCTCCCATCTAGATTTAGAGAGAGTTACGGCCTTGACACTGACTTCTGGGAACAGAACAGGCTCGATACAGATCACTGAGACTGGACAGACTCGATACTGAACTCTGGGAATGGAGCCATCTCTGTACTGTGCTCTTTGGTTGGAGCCGATACTGGAGTGGACACAGGGGTTGGCGCCAACACTGGAGCGGATTCTGGAGAGCGTTCTGGAGCTCCTTAGCTGGAGCTGACACGGCTGTGGTCAGGGGCTGGCCCGGTAGAGAACCGTTTCTTCTTCCTCAGCTTTCACCTTTGGGCAGAGGTGAAGTGAAGCAGTGAGGTTTTAATAATCACTGGAGTTGGCCTAGACTCTGGAGCTGGCTAATGTGTTGAAGCAGATTCTGGAGCTGGAATGGAATTATAACTGAACTGGGCTAGAGCTGGCTCAGAACTGAACCCTGGGGCTGGAACGGGTTTGTGACTGGATTCTGGGGCCAGATAGAACTCAATGGCTGGTTCAGACTCTGGAGCGGGCTTCACTGTGTCAGGTTCGAGAATTACATACACTGTAACTTCATTTTCAGGAGCTAGCATGAGAAAATTATTTCTTGGAACAGATTTGGATTAGATTTGGGACTGTTACTCATTGGAATGGATTCATGACTGTTGATTGGGTATGGATTCTGGACATGAGCACTGCAAAGTGGAATTCATCTTCAGAGACGTCCTGATGGACATGATAGGTGGATCTGCAAGCTTTGCCACCAAGGCTGTGCTGTTTGAGATAGCCTTTCTCACCCGACGGAATATGGAAGCACTTGCTGTGACTATATTGAAAGCCGTTGCAGCAGAGACAGAAGACGTGGGGCTTACGGTTTTATCCACAGGGCAGTCAGTAACCTCGCCAACAGTGAGGGACGAGCCACTTAGCCACAGTGCATAATCAAGATAGTGCTTTAGAGAACAGGTGGTAGCTGATGCCGTTATCTGTTGATAAAGATCATCGTCTTATCCACACCAGAAGATTGTCTTCAGGGTATCAGCACTCCATGGTACCCTATAGGAAATATCGAGAAATTCCTCGACATTATCCTCAATTGGATGGCCATCTTGGAAAATGGAGAGGAGTAAATTCACAGGGTTAGAGGGCAGGGTGTCCATAGTTGTTGGAATCGGTCTGGTCTTCTGATTCAAGTACAGAAGGAGAAGTCTCAGAGGTAACGTCAGCAACAAAGTACACTGTAAAAAAATGATTGTGATTTTAACAGTAAAAGACTGTAAAAATGCTACAGTAAAAACCTGTTAACTGGTTAACAGTAAGTTTCCATACTATATTCGGTGAATAAATGTAATTACATTTAATGTAATTTTACAGTAAAATACTGTAAAACAATTTTGGAGGTGAAAAAAAAGTCATTGTATAATTTACAGTGAAAAAACGTAAATTGACACTCCCAGAATTCCCTGCATGATGCTACATATTTGATGTTTTTTTGTTGAAATAACATTTTTTCTTTGTTTTTTCTTATAAGTTGTGTACATTAGGGTTTAATCTTACATCTAATGTTGTCAAATGAATGTTTATTGCATTATTTCAATATCATGTGTGTCAACATGATGAGGTTTTGTGCTTGTGTAAATGACACTGTGCACCTTCTATATATAAGTATTGCCCTCCTCAGCTCGTAGAAAAGCTGTTTGTTATGAGCTTTGGTTCATCATGTGACTTTCTCATCACCACCAGTTTTTGGTGGTTATGGTTCAAAACAGATATTAACACTTCAATATGTTGGTTTATAAACATTACATCAGTTAATGAAATACGGTATTTTATTGTGAATTTAAGTTAAGTCTGTAAAACCTAAAATGTTGCTACCATATTTTTTATGGTGAAGTTCTGGCAACCACAGCTGGCGGTATTTTACCGTAAATGTTACAGATTTTTTTTTACATTGTATTTATTCACAGGAATTTCAGAGAAGCAGCGTGGTAAACAGGTGAGTATATAATTCAATGAAGATAGAAAGCACTAGTGATGTTACGCTCAACACGGAAGATCCGAAGCTTGTATAAAAAAAACAACAACACATTTCACATCAAAGCACTGTATCGGAGCTTGATTCGTTTTGACAAAAGCACATGATCTATGACATTTGAAGCTTCGTTTGTCTGAAAACCACATGCCTGCTTTAGTATCTGGTTCAAACGACATGAACCACTGGTGAACTGCATTTTTTTTCAATATCGTAATTAAATATTAAGCTCAAATGAACTTTGCCTATGAAATAACCGGACTGAGGCAGAGTTAAACTAGACAGATTGCGGATTTAATTTATGAATTTATGTTTCATTTATTTTACTTATTTTACTGCCAGTACACCGATACATTATTTAGATACAATAAAATAAAACAGAATCAGTTGTAGAACCAGATGTGAAACCAGCTGCTGTAATGGACCACCGCAATTTGGAAGGTGTTACTCATTTTCATGACCACTAGATCATGGCCACAACATAAACCGTGTTGAAAAGCTTTGAGTAATGAACCTTTTTCCGATACAATTGTGTTGAAAGCTTAAGTGGTTCAGAACGCTTCACTTCACCATCACTAGAAAGCACTTGAGCATAAACAGTTCTTTGTTGCAGGTGCTGGCGGGTGTGTGGTGAAGGCTTAGTGAAGACTGGAACTGAAGACTGACTGAAGACAGGTAAGTAGCCAAGGAAGTAGCCCAGTAAGTCCTCATATGTGGGGAGACGAGACCAGACAAGGGAAAGTGGAGAGTAACTGCTCTTATACAGGGCTTGATAAGATCATCTATAGCAGGTGTGGTGATGGCTGACTGAGTGCAGGTGTTGACCAGAAGGGACGCTGGGAAATGTAGTTCCCAGTGGACTGGGCTAGTGTCTGAGGATAGGGAATGGACTGGTGACTTGGGATTGTGACAATATGATTATAATGTGATGAAAAGCATCTTCTGGCTCTTGCCCATTTGAGACTCATGATGCATTTTGTACTGAGTGGTTTCCAGGGCGTTGCTGTGTGGTTGCAATTCTATTCTATGTATTCTAGGTGGTTGCTAGGGCATTTTGGATGGTTGCTAGGTGGTCACTTACTGGCCCACTCCCAAGTGTCGATGATATTCTGGTCACTTCATCTTTTTTTTTTTTCCAAAAATCTATTGTCCACCCGATGAAAATTGTATGTTTGATTGCTTAAGTCCTCCACCGCAAGCAGCTAAATTTTGGGTGCAATTTATTATTATTATGTATTAGTCACGGTAATATTTTTTTCTCATTTGACTTCCAGTTCCTCACAGAAATGCCATTGAGGTGCATTATGTGTAAATGTAGAGAGTTAATCAAGATCAGGCTTCAGTGCTCCTTATTACTGTTTTAAGCAACTCAGTTCCCAGAATCCATCTGTCACAGACTTGTCATATTATCAGTGTCCTATACTTGTCTAAAAGCTTCACATTTAATGATGCAAATTACAGGCGTGAATAGAAGCAGACAGGTGTCAGTCTGACCTGTAACTGTAAAGAGAACAGATTGTGCCAGAACATAATCGAATGTGGGCCGCTGGTGGCGTGGAGAGATCAGGGTGTTACATAGCAGGTTTAATTGGGTGTCACGGCACCCTGGATCTGTCAGGTCACCTGGTTCAAGTGTCAGCTGGTGAAAAATGGGACAAAGATTAAGTCAAGGGGAATAAGAGTCTTAGAAGAGTCATGGCCTTATGACAGTAATATGTAATAAAGCGTATAGCTTATTTCAAGATGAAAAAGCAGACTGTGTTGAAAACCTAAGCTATATAATAAGCGTCCACGTAATTGAGTTTATCTACAAATGTGGTACTTTGGGGGTTATGGGGTTATGTCTCATACAATGTTAAACTATTTCATGTAAAAGCCATTTTCTCTGTTAATTGTTCTACACTGAAAATAATGTTTCATTCATCCAATTAAAAAAAATTAGGATAATGATTCCCATCTATATTTTTTAACTTGAGCCAATGAAGAATAAATAACTTGCCCTAAGGGTATATATATTAAGTGTATATATTTCCTTTTTTGTGTGTGAGTTTATCAAAAAGTAGTTAAAGTAACTAATAATCTGTATATTAAAAAGCAAAAGCACATGTTTTGAAATAGAACAGTTTATTGAAACTTTAGACTAAATACATACATAAATAAATAAATAAATAAATAACCTTTGCCTTTGTGTTTTATGTTGAGTATCATATTTAATACATTAGGCTTTTATGGCTCATATATTATGATGTAGGACAATATGGAGCTTAAATTCAAGGAGGAAAAATATACAATTTACTACTTAAAAAAATGCATATAAATATCAATTGTCACTCTGTATCTCCCAAAAATATGTCTTAGTAAGATCATATTTAAATGTTTAGTTTTATAAACAAAGCTCTGTATTGTATTGCAATGCAATACGATGTCAGTTCAGAGATGTACAAATAAACGTTCTTGAAAAGCCTAATGTACCATATTTGGTACCTTCATTTAACAGTTTTTCTAAAAATGGTGTATGGATTATAAAGTAAACCTAAGGTGCTTCAGTCCAGTCAGTGTCCATCTTGAAATATTACTAACAAAATGTACTAAAAAAGTATAAACTATCAATCTGACGACAGAATGCATGTAAAAGTTTGTGTACAACAGGTTTTGATCATGCCTTAGACATTTGTGTATCAAATATGATACAGTAGGCTGTATGGGGTTCATTTTAGGCCATACATTTTTGTGTTACATTTTAAATGTCAAAACTATTTCAAGTTTATTCAGTTTATTTTCAGGTAACATCCTGAATATATATATATATATTTTTTTTTTTTTTTTTTTTTTTTGTTGTTGTTGGTTTTTTTTCACTGCTGTCCTCAGACTTGCATATAACATTCAGGAGTGGCTGTCTGCTCACTTACATCATCTAAACCCCTCTCTTGTGTCTGGGTTATGAAATTCTCGAGCTCTGTTAGGGTGGAGATTATATATCCTGCTTTACCACAACTTTCTTCTCTTGCAGAAGAGGATCGCATCAGAAAGCCTCAGTTAATGGTGAAGAAAGAGCAACCCTCGTCTATCTCTGGTGTGAGTTTAAGAAGTATTTCATTTATATTTCTACTTTCTCTTTTAAATAAGTATAATAAAATTTTATGAATAAATTGTATTAGGTTTTTAACTAGCATATATACTTTAAGTAGTTGTGAAATTGCAGACTTCTTTCATTATTTTTGTCACCATAACAGAATACAAGAAACTAAGGGGTTAAATTTATGTTTGTATTTTGCAGATGATCTAATGGCAGACCAAAGAATGGACATAACTTCCACGATGAATGAGTTCATGTCTCCCAGTTCCACTGACCTGATCAGCAGCTCAATGGGAATGCCGGGCATGGACTACACCCGCAAGAGGAAGGGCAGCATCACCGACTATCAGTAAGAGCAAGTCCTAACAGATCCTCTTACTCTGTTCAAGATTGTTCATCATCATTCACATTTGTGTGCTCATAATGGACCTCAAGCAGGATTCATGATGAGATTCAGGACCCTGTGTCTGGAATTATGGCACCATTCAAAAGTTTGGGGTCAGTAAGATTTTTATTTTTATTTTTGGGAAAAAAAACAAAAAAAAAACACTTTTATTCAGCGAGGATGCAGTAAATTGATCATATGTGACAGCAGAGACATTTACTATGGTACAATTTTTTTTATTTCAGATAAGTGTTATTCTTTTGAATTTGACAAATCTAGAAGAAAGTATCACATTTTCAAAAAAAAAAAATGCAGCAGAATATTGATATTAATAATAAGAAATATTTTTGAGCAGCAAATCAGCATGTTAGAATAATTTCTGAAGAATCATGTGACACTGTGAAGACTGGAGTAATGATGCTGAACATTTTTTCCAGCTTTACATCACAGGAATAAATTACATTTTAAAATATATTAAAGCAGAAAACAGTTCTTTTAGATTGTAATGCCATTTCTTAATGTTACTGTAAATTGTATTTTTTGATCAAGTAAATGCAGCCTTGCTGAGCATAACAGACTTCTTTTAAAAACAATAAAACAAATCTTACCTACCCCAAACCTTTGAGCTGTAATGTATATTATTGTATAATGTGTAATATTGTATATGTGTAATACTGTATAATGTGTAATAATTTAACAATAAGTATGTGAGCGATACAGAGCACGGAGCAGAGTTGCATAATTTTGCTTGTAGCAGGGTTTCTTTCTTTCTTTTTTTAAAGTTAGAACATCTGTGTTCTCTTTCTTTCCAAGATCACTCTGACATCACTCTAAAACAAACATCACATATACAACTTAATTTCATTAAGAATCCATCATGTTAAGCAACTTGATACTTATTAGCAATAAGATTGAATTTTTTTTATTCATGAAATATGACCATATACTGTATATATATATATATATATATATATACACACACACACACACACACACACACACACACACACACACACACACACACACACACACACACACACAGTGGGTATAGAAAAGAATCACCAGCCTGAAATGAAGCAGACACAGTTTTTGTTTTATCCAGCTGTATTTACTCAGTGCAACTTATAACATCCAAGTGAAAGATATAACACCAACATATCAGAAAAAATAAAAAAATTAATAAACAAAATTTTATGTATGACTTGTAATCTCAAACAGGTATAGCTAATCACATTCTCAATGGCATACAAAGCCATTTGATTTTCAACTGTGATCAGCTGTGGTCATTTTGATCAGCTCAGCATGAAAAGAGCTTTCCTGCAGCATTTCAGTCCTTGGTAGTGCAACTGAAGCAAACAATCAACTATGGATGGCAAAGCACTGTAAAAAATATCTCTGGGATAAAGTTGTGGACAGGCACAAGTCAGGAGATGGAGAAAAAAAAAGGCTTTATCAATGCCTAGAAGCACAATGAAGTCTATTATTAAGAAGTGGAAGGTATTTGGTACAAAACAGACCCTCCCTGGATCAGAACGTCGCTCCAAACTGGATGAAAGAGCCAGGAGGAAACTGGTCAGAGAGGCGACCAAGAGTCCTACAGCAACTCTGAAGCAGTTGCAGGAATTTGTGACAAAGAGTGGTCATTGTGTGGATGTGACAACAACAGCCCCGTTTACATGCACACTTTTTTTTCCATTCTGACTGAGATCATTCCGATTGACGGATTCTGGTTGACTGTTTAAATGGGATGTAATCTAAACCGATCTGGTGTTTACATGTGCTGACGCTTCCAATCGGAATAATTTTGTGACCTGCGCACACAGCTCGTCTGCCGCATTAGGAACGTCATTATTTCCTGCGTTTTCAATTCAGTCAAGATGGTGCATCACTTAATCCTTGTGTTAGTTCAGCATTGTGTTTATTTTAATCAAGCAACAGCGATACTAGGTGCTGTTGCTGCAAACGTAGAGAAGAAGACAGGTGCAAGAAGCTGGCCTCTTTGGTCGTGGTGCTTCGCTACGAAGCATTAATTTTCTACTCCTCCCTCCTCAAGACCGAAGCATGTGGATGAAGGTGTGTAACAAGGACTGCTGGGAGTTTGATTTCGCCGCACCACCATTTTGTATTCTGACGACACACTCCCGGTGCGTCAAAACCAGGCATGCGCAGAAGGACGTACACTCAAAGAAATCGGATCAGCTCATTTACATGGTGTAATTTTTTGTTTGATCGGTTCATGAAAAGGTTTATTCCACCCCTTTCAATCTGACTGAAATTTCAAATGGGTTTGAGCATTTTTAATCCGATTGAGGTGTTTACATGGTGCATTTTCATTCAGATTGGACTTTTAAACCAATATAATCATTATAATCGGAATACAATGCTCCATGTAAACGGGGCTACTACAAATTCTCCACCAATATGGCTTGTATGGGAGGGTTGCAAGAAAAGAAGCCACTCCCCAAGAAAGGCTACATGCAGTCACGACTGAGTTTTGCCAAAACACACTTTAAGATTATGAGGCAGGTGAGAATAAAATTGAATTATTTGGCCTCAACACCAAACGAAATGGCAGAAATTCAATACAGCTTTTTAGAAGGAAAAATGTACGGGACAAAATACCGTCAAATTCTTGAGGAAAATCTGCTGCTCTCTGCTAGAAAGTTGTCAATGGGAAGAAGGTTTACCTTCCAATATGACCCAAAGCACACAGCAAAACTGACCACACAGTGGTTGAAGGAGAAAAAGGTGAATGTCATTGCATGGCCTAGTCAGAGCCCAGACTTAAACCCCATTGAAAATCTGTGGAATGACTTGAAGACTGCAGTCCACAAACCCTCACCCAACCCTCATCATATTTAACTGAACTTGAGCAGTTCTGCAAAGAAGAGTGGGCAAAAGTCTAGATGTGCAAAGTTAGTAAAGACAAATCCCAACAGCCTAAAGGCTGTAATTAAAGCAAAAGGTGGTTCAACAAAATACTGACACAAGGGGGGTGATCCTTTTTCTAACTCACAAAATTCTGAAATGAATGAGAAAATTACTGATGGCTTAATGTGGATGAGACAAAGAATAAAATCTGATGTAAACATTAAAATGGTGGGTAAAAAATCAATCTCTGTTCTTGGATATAAAGTTTTTAAACAATTCATCATCTATAATCATAAAATTATATAAAAAAAATCACGCCATAATACTAATGCGTCCCTCTCATATGTAAATGGTGAGAACTGCAAGGAGTGAGAATTGAAATTAAAGTGATCCTTTTTCTAACTCACAAAATTCTGAAATGAATGAGAAAATTACTGATGGCTTAATGTGGATGAGACAAAGAATAAAATCTGATGTAAACATTAAAATGGTGGGTAAAAAATCAATCTCTGTTCTTGGATATAAAGTTTTTAAACAATTCATCATCTATAATCATAAAATTATATAAAAAAAAATCACGCCATAATACTAATGCGTCCCTCTCATATGTAAATGGTGAGAACTGCAGGAGTGAGAATCTGAAATTAAATTTGTCAATATGTTTCTTTTCACAGAATTGATGGATTTTCATTTGAGTAAGTATCAAAGCAAAACATCTAAATTACTATATATATATATATATATATATATATATATATATATATCTCACTGAAACATCCCTAAACCATGGTACTGTCAGAGTACCTTTTTGTTTGTGTGTCTCTCTTTGAGGACAAGCAGATTACTCATCTCATTAAAATTTAAAAATAGAAATATATCAACTTACCCTTTTGTTTAAGAGAAAAATACCAATTGTGTCCTCTTAGATCTGAGGCTTCATGGATGAGATTCCTCATCCCAATCTCACAGCTCACACAAACCGCTGAGAGTGAATGGTCAGTGAGTATGGATGAAAACATGCCAACTGGTCAAACTGTCCAGTCTGTTCTTGTTTTAAGACAAATGCAGACCAGCACCTTCTGCATTCTGCATTCTAACTTCATGCAGAGAGACTGAGCACAGTGTTTCAAGGGCAAATATTGTGCAGAAATTACTTTTGTGAATCAGGTGCAAACATTGCGAAAACAGCTTGTGCAAATAAACACTATTTGCACAGTGAAATCATCCCTTTAATAGTTTATAACTGTTAGTGTCTGAATATCACGCATAGTAGCAGTTATTTTATTAGCAGTTATTGTGTTATATGTAGCTGTGATTTTGAGGTTTGTTTTTAACAGTAACTTGTAATGCAGGGTTTTCCATCCAAGGGGGTTATGAAAATAAGAACATGTGTAGTTCTATTATATTATCTATCAAGTAAATATTTGAGGTTTAGGTGAGTAAAAAGTATGTGGTAGATGTTATCATTATAAAGCCCTCAGGTAAACAATGTGTAACATTTCTCTCATTCTGGCCAGTTATGATACAAGTCATTATGAAACAACCAATCTGGAGCTGATGGTGCATGAGATGGGAGTTACATCATATCAAGTCATAGTATATTTGTAACTCGTACCATATTGTGGGATCCTTATCCTGCAATGATATTTAATGACAAGAAATTAATCAGATATGCTCTTAACCTAATCATGTATGGACTATAATGAAAATAAACAAGAAAGAGAATAATTATTTTTTTATAAAGAGTATTTTCATGTGGTTCTGAGAAATAATTTGCACATCATCTTTTACTTGCAAATCAGGGTATATAACCATTCAGGTTACTTTATATAGGTTGACTTGTGAACTATTTAAGCTAATGTATTTGTTTACTGTTCATTTTTAAGGCACAGTATGGACATAGACAAGGACAAACAACTTGGAAGGTAAATTAAATGATTGATTTATTTATATACTGTATATTTATACATAAAAATTGTATTATCAGCATAAAAAATCAAAAGGTAATGTTTTTTTTTTTAGTATTTAGTTTGTTGCCCTTTTGCTTTAAGGGTATGCTTCAAAGGGAATTTAATACATTTTCTATTCATTTCAATGTTTCTTTGTTTAAAAAAATAAATAAAAACAAATATATATATACTGTATATACATACATACATACATACATACAGTAATGCTTGAAAGCTTGTGAAATCTTTAGAATTTTTGATATTTTAACATAATTATGACCCAAAAGATCATCACTAGGGCTGTCACTAACGATTATTTTGGTAATTGAGTAATCGGTCAATTATTCTGATAAATGATAAGTTTGTGTGGAGCAGCATTTACTGTACTGTGAACAAAGCTTATCTGACATGCACGTACATAACCTACACGCAATAATTAAAGTGCATATATTAAGCCTTCATTGCATATATTTATTTAACTGAATCGTAGCGTTTGTCAATTCACAATAGCATTATGCTTTATTATGATCCTTAAATGGGTTTACTATATCATGCAGCCTGCGTTTCATGGATTGTCGTACATGGAATGCGTCCGGTATTTTGCCAGTTACTCAATATGGGCAAATTGCAGTCAAGGATTTTTTTTAAATCAAGTACTTGAATTGAATCAAGGAATCGTGACAGCCTGAATCATCAGATTTTCACACAAGTCCTAAAAGTTGGCGAAGAGAATACAATCAAACAAATGACACAAAAATATATACTTTGTCATTTCTTTATTGAGAAAAATTATCCAGTGTTACACATCTGTGAGTGACAAAAGTATGTGAATCTTTGCTTTCAGTATCTGGTCTGACCCCCTTTTGCAGCAATAACTGCAGCTAAACGGTTCTTGTAACTGATGACCAGTCCTGCACAACAGCCTGGGGGAATTTTAGCCCATTCCTCAGTACAGAACTGCTTAACTCTGTGATGTTGGCGGGTTCCCTCCTCTGAACTGCCTGCTTCAGGACCTTCCACAAAATTTCAATTGGATTAAGGTCTTTGACTTGACCGTTCCAAAACATTACATTTTCTTCTTGAACCATTCTTTGTTAGAATGACTTGTGTGCTTGAGATTGTTGTCTTGCTGCATGACCCACTTTCTCTTGAGATTCAGTTCACTGACAGATGTCCTGACATATTCTTTTAGAATTTGCTGGTGTAATTCAGAATTAATTGTTCCATCAATTTCAATTGGATTAAGGTCTTTGACTTGACCGTTCCAAAACATTACATTTTCTTCTTGAACCATTCTTTGTTAGAATGACTTGTGTGCTTGAGATTGTTGTCTTGCTGCATGACCCACTTTCTCTTGAGATTCAGTTCACTGACAGATGTCCTGACATATTCTTTTAGAATTTGCTGGTGTAATTCAGAATTAATTGTTCCATCAATGATGGCAAGCCATCCTGGACCAGATGCAGCAAAACAGGCCCAAATTATATATAGCACCATTCACACAGAGATTCAAGAAAATACACGGATAATGTGTCCCGGGAATTGTTCCCGGATCATTAGATTTTGGTTAATTCACACTGCCAGTGATTTCCCGGAATCTGTGCGTGTGTTCACACACAACTCGTAAACGTCCAGTAATGACACGTGACATCAGGATGTGACGTGTAATGTACGAGTCGAAAACTTGAGCTTACTTATTACCTGTGATTTCTCTCTCGAGAAACCACACTGTTTCATTTTGGTTTTAATTTGCTCATACACAACCGCATCACGTACCGTTCCACTGAGCTGGCGAACGATCTCAGCTTCAGCGCGGATACCGAGGAGCTCCGTGGTCTCTGCTTCAGTCCAGTTTGCACACATTTCTGGTAATTTAAAAAAAAATTTTTTTACTCGAACACCACTCTCTGCGTTTAAAACACCGACTAGCCCCTCCGGCACTGCAAGGTTGTATTATTGAAAACACCCACTCAAAGAATCGCACAATAACTACATCATAACTACGATGCATCTGTTACGGCATTGGTTCCGGCTTTTGTTCACACAGGGCACCTTCCGGGACTGAACCCGGCAATGTTATAGGTCCCCAACCCAGGATCAATCCCGGGACGTGTTTGCGTTCACACAGAAGGCACTCCGGCAATTTTCTGAGACCAACGTGCAGTGTTAAAGGGGTTTATTATACTACCATCACGTTTCACAGATGGGAAAAGGTTCTTATACTGGAATGCAGTGTTTTCCTTTCTCCAAACATAACGCTTCTCATTTAAACCCCAAATTTCCCCAATAGCCCTCTGGCGTGTCCACATGATCTTTAGCAAGCTGCAGACGGGCAGTGATTTTCTTTTTGGAGAGCAGTGGCTTTTTCCTTGCAACTCTGCCATGCACACCATGGTTGCTCAGTGTTCTCCTAATGGTGGACTCATGAACATTAACATTAGCCAATGTGAGAAAGGCCTGGGGTCCTTTGCAACCTCGTGGACAATTACACGTCTTGCTTTTGGAGTGATCTTTGTTGGTCGACCACTCCTGGGGAGGGTAACAGTGGTCTTGCATTTCCTCTATTTGTACACAAACTGTCTTGACTGTAGATTTGTGGAGTCCAAACACTTTACAAGTGGTTTTGTAATATTTTACACCCTGATGAGCAACATCAACTCTTTTTCTGAGGTTCTCAAAGACCTTCTTTTGTTCATGCCATGATACACTTCCACAAACATGATCAGACTTTGATAGATCCCTGTTCTTTAAATAAAACAGAGCAGGCAATGTCACCTGATAAACATCCCATTGATTATAAACACCTCTAAACAGATGGACTCTAATTTCGCCTTCAAATTAACTGCTAATCCTAGAGATTCACATATTTTTGCCATCATTTTCCAGAATAAATAAATAAAGTATATATTTTTGTCTCATTTGTTTGATTGGATTCTCTTTGTCAACTGTCAGCACTTGTGTGAAAATCTGATGATCTTTTGGTTCATATTTAAGCAGAAATATAGAACATTCTGAAGGGTTCACAGATTTTGAAGCACCACTTCAAAAGTGTGTGTGTGTGAGAAATTTTCAAAATAAAATGGTAAAACTATTTTAAGGACCAATTCTCACTATTAACTAGTTGCTTATTAGCATGCATATTACTAGTATATTGGCTGTTTATTAGTACTTATAAAGCACAAATTAATGTCTTATTCTGCATGTGCATATTCTAGATTCTTTAACCCAACCCAATACATAACCTTAACAACTACCTTACTAACTATTAATAAGCAGCAAATTAGGAGTTTATTGAGGGAAAACTCTTAGCTAAAAGTGAATATGTGTTTCCTATTCTAAAGTGTTACCAATAAAATGGTTACTGGTTATTCCACCACGTGACTGTATCTGATTATCTGGTGTTTATACTTAGGCCACATGATTAATTATTTCTGAGACGTTAAACTATTTTTCTCTCAACAGGGTTGATCAGCAGATTAAAAATGCAAGGTACTGTAATCCAAAGCAATTCTGTATATATATATATATATATATATACTATAATTGATAGATCATATGCTATTGTAGATCCTGTGCCTTTTCTTCCAAGAGTAACATTATTTTGGACTCTTGGTCATCAACAGGGACGCTCACAGTCAGATAGAAAAGAGACGCAGAGACAAGATGAACAGCTTTATTGATGAGCTGGCTTCATTAGTGCCTACCTGCAACGCCATGTCCCGCAAGCTGGACAAACTCACGGTGCTGCGCATGGCGGTCCAGCATATGAAAACACTTCGAGGTTAGATTCATCATTCTCAACAGAGAACTCAGCTTTTTAATGCCATTATCTTTACATTAGAGATGTGCATTCGAGTTATTTTGTAGTTGAGTACTGTATTGTAAAAATGACTTAAAAAATATGACATGTACATCACAAACATTATATCATCAATAATGGTAGCAAAACAGGTTAATTGAACAATCTGTGCTTTAAGGGGCTTCTTAAAGGGATAGTTCACCCAAAAATGAAAATTTGAAGTTTATCTGCTTACCCCCAGGGTATCCAAGATGTAGGTGACTTTGTTTCTTCAGTAGAAAAAATTTGATGATTTTTAAGTCCAACCGTTGGACCGTATAAGACCATCAGTCTTATAACGCATGGCAATGGTAACAAAGTCTATGAGTGTAAAAAAAACATGCACAGACAAATCCAAATTAAAGCCTGCGGCTCGTGACGACACATTGATGTCCTAAGACACGAAACGATCGGTTTGTGCCAGAAACCAAACAGTTTTTATATAATTTTTTACCTCCTATACAACACTATGTCCAACTGCTTTGAGCACGCGCACAACTTCCGGTGCGTGAGGCGTGTACGCGCTCTGGCGTAGTTTACATTAATGGGTGTGTTGTCGTGGGAGGAGCAAACGACAGACACCGTTTATTAACAGAAAATAAACTAAGTGTCCAAAATAAACAGGGGATCTGGTGTCCTCGTTGTGCTGCGGGGTTCATGCAGGGAAGGGCAGTGGTCAAGAAGGAAGGAAGGGTCCAGGTAAGGGGCGGAGTTCGGCGGCCGCACGCGCTCCCCTCTCCGGTCCGGGGTGCGAGGGGCGGCGGCTTCTATCAGTGGCTTCGTCCTTCTCTCTGCCCACGCCGCTTGAAGGGACTAGACGGCCCAGCATCCTTGCCCGACACCCGTGTAACGGGTGCGGTTCTCGTCCAGACTGCGGGTCCGGCATCTCACTACTCTGGCGGCACGAGAGTCCCTCTACGCACCCCTCCTGGACCCACGAGGACACCAGCGTGCATGCACCGGGAAGAGACCGGTCTCCCGAGGAGAGGCGTGCTTGGCATTTGAACAGCGGCGGTGATGAGGCTCCATTCGGTTCAGGTGTGCCCCATCACATGCCACCAGCCCTGACTATTTCAGCGCCCCTCCTCTCACACGCATCCACTCATGTCGGGAGCCTGGCGAAGGGTGGCGATTAAGGGACGGGGTGATGCTGATAATTAGGGGGAGGCAGCCGACTCGTCACAGTGTGTTGATATCCAGCCGAAGAGCAATAAACCATAACTTCAGGCGAGCAGGCTCAGAAGTCGGTTTGAACAGTCCGGATAAGCGATAAGTAAGTACCATTTTGATTAGCCGTCGTACCTACAATGTTTGTGCACTGTGTAAACAATGAGTGACGTATACGCGTGAGAGATCAGTTCCGGCGCTTGCATAAACTACGCCAGAGCGCATACACGCCTCACGCACCGGAAGCCGTGCGCGTGCTCAAAGCAGTTGGACATAGTGTTGCATTAGAGGTGAAAAATGATATAAATACTGTTCGGTTTCTGGTACAAACCGATCGTTTCGTGTCTTAGGACATCAGTGTGTCGTCAGGAGCTGCAGGGTTTAATTTGGATTTGTCTGTGCATGTTTTTTTTACACTCATAGATTTTGTTACCATTGCCATGCATTATAAGACTGATGGACTCCAACGGTTGGACTTAAAAATCTTCGTTTGTGTTCTACTGAAGAAACAAAGTCACCTACATCTTGGATGACCTGGGGATAAGCAGATAAACATCAAATTTTCATTTTTGGGTGAACTATCCCTTTAATTCTCTATTCCGAAAGCATGCCATTACATGAATGTCACATATAAACAGTGCCACCAAATGCATTCTGTTGTAACAGCGAGATCTAGGAAGGATTTAGTGTTTAAGTATATTTCATTGGTTCCAGCAGGTCAAGTGATTCATGTACTTCACATTGTGTTTTGTCTATTTGAGTTGTTGGTGCACAAGTACAAGTGGTGCACAAGTTAATTGATTACTTATGCTTATTTTATACTGTCTTTTTAAGGTGCTGCAAACCCTTATACTGAAGCTAACTACAAGCCAGCTTTTTTATCAGAAGATGAGCTGAAGCACTTAATATTAAGGGTAGGTGACCTAAAGAAATTAATCCTTTTGTGTTATGCTGAGTGACAAACCCTGGCTGTGACTCACTGGTGATTCATTTGGCATCTCAGGCTGCTGACGGTTTTCTGTTCGTTGTGGGCTGTGATCGGGGAAAGATCCTTTTTGTGTCAGAGTCTGTCTACAAAATTTTAAATTACAGTCAGGTAATCTGTAATCTTCTAATGCTACTATGATTCACCACTCAGCATATACGAATCATCAGACTGTGAAGTGACTCACTATATTGCCTGCTCTCTTTGTCTCACAGAATGACCTGATTGGCCAGAGTTTGTTCGATTATTTGCATCCTAAAGACATTGCAAAAGTCAAAGAGCAGCTCTCATCTTCTGACACAGCCCCACGCGAAAGACTCATCGATGCTAAAAGTAAGTTAGCACCTGCTAATAAATACACCATTATGCAGACAAACTTTAAAGGCAGGAATATGCTGCATATTTTTCCATTTTAAAAGACTAGCATCATACTTTTTTTTTTTTTTGCATTATACATATTGCTGACTTTGTAAATGCTTACAAAGAAAAAACTGGGCATCATTCACTAAACGACCTGTACCAAAAAGTAGTATACTTCGTTTATTTTATTAAGTATATTTAAGTAAATTTCAAGTATATTTGTAAGTATACTTTATGTAGTAAGTATACAAATATCAGTGTACTAGTAGTATTCTTGTAAGTGTACTATTTCAGTACTCCTTGGGACTAAATTGGCCCACTTTCTAGTATATAAAAGTATACTTTTAAGTATACTTTAAGTATAACAGTATTAAACTTTGAGTACACAGCTAGTTTACATCAATATTTTTTAGCTTGTACTGTAATTATACTAAAAGTGAACTTATAGTTAGTTTACTAATTCAATTCTTGTAGTAGCATTTTTAGTACACTTTGAAGTATAGTCTCAGTAAACTACTAGTTTAGTAGTTTTATACTGCAAGTATACTCGTAAGTTTTCTTTAAATATACTACTATGTTCCTATTTAGGTATTAATTTATATATTTTGTTATATGAATATCTGAACATACAAAACATCAAAAGAAAGAACAGGGTATCTGATTGTAAACAAAAACATTTTATTCTAGCTTCATGCATTCTTTTTTTTATAAACACTTGAATGTGGGTAAGCTTCATGAATAAAAAAATAAAGAAATAAACAACATTTTGAACAAAAAGCTGAAAAAAGATTAATTGGATTCAGAATGATAATCAAAACGTAGATGGAGTCGATCAACACCCCAAAGCTTGACAGTCATTATTACCTCTTCATTGGTCGACATTTTATTCCATAACGTTACACAGTTTTGATGCTGTTTTATGTCTGCTGATCGTGTAAAATTACATGTGGAAGCATCTGTTGTATCGGGTTCTTCGTTACTTGTGTTTTTTGGATATTCTGTACAGAAGATGTGTAATAGACAGTATAACAATGAAAACACGGATTCTAAGAGCACAAGTATACAGTAGCTCAAATATATTTAGACTTTTTCTAAGCAGAAGTCAAGTATACTTAAATGTAATTTTAAGTATTTTTCTGAGTAGTACGTAAAGCCCATTTCTGAGAAGTGCATAAAAAGTAGACTAAAAGTATACTGTCCTATTTTTGGTTTAAAGGGGTCATATGATGCTTTTTTAAAGATCATTATTTTGTGTATTTGGTGTAACAGAATATGTTGACATGCTTTAATGTTCAAAAAACACATTATTTTTCAAATACTGTACATTATTGTAAGTCCTCTATGCCCCGCCTCTCTCAAACGCTTAGTTTTCTACAAAGTCCCTCCTTCCGACAAGCGCAGTCTGCTCTGATTGGCCAGCTGACCCAGTGCATTGTGATTGGCCGAACACCGCAAGCACTCGTCGGAAATGTAACGCCCCTTACCATAAGAGCTTCATCTTTCAAAATAAATGTAAAGACAGAGCCCAAAAGGGGAACAAAGTCTCGTTAGGGATCTCATCTATGCACAATCAGCTTGTAACACTCCAAAGAGAAAGGAAAATTTGAAATCGCATCATATGACCCCTTTAAAAAGCATCCTAATAGCACACTTGAATAAACTTTTTTTTCATAACAGGACTCACACTACCAGATTTGCAAGTTGTTCCAAACATAACAAACTCACACAGAAACATGTAACTCATACCTCTCATGTATCCAAGATGGCGGCGCGTTCACAAGCTGCGGCTTCTCTCTCTCCCGACAGAAAGGTGTTTTCGTGTTTTTTGTCTTGTGAGTCGCAGTGTTTTTGTATGTATTCGTCTATTTGTTTCTAAGAGCGCATATAGTTGTGAGTTTCTGCTCGATGTCGGCAGAACCACAT